TGACAACTTTCTACACTAGCTAGGATGTGATAATACCTGTTTCTTTGACAACTTTCTACACTAGCTAGGATGTGATAATACCTGTTACTCTGACAACTTTTTATACTAGCTAGGATGTGATAATACCTGTTACTCTGACAACTTTTTACACTAGCTAGGATGTGATAATACCTGTTTCTTTGACAACATTTAAAGTGTATGTTCTGTGTATACCCAGAGATACCAATGTATCCAGGAGCCAGGACGTAAGTTACCAAGGTTACAGAAGTGTCGCTCCAAAGATTTGGCGTTGGGTCAGAATGTCCAGGGGGATAGTCCCTATCCCACAATGCAGCAGAAACCCTGCAGATGTCCTCCAATGATGAATGCACAGGAACGCCGAAACCAAGAGCAATTTCTACTGAATCATGTCAATAAAGGTATGGGGTTGTAGTCAATCTATATCACTTTATCCACATGTTAACACACTAGTGCCTTCCTGAAGGTATCTCCTCTACTGCTCTTTAACTTATTTCATACAAAGTGCACATTTACCTATTTATTAATACTTTTCACATAAACTCACATAACAACACATTATGTATCTTTTATTAATGTTTGACATAAATAAATTTGTTGATCGTCATTTGTCTTAGAGTTCCGTGTACCAAGGGACATAATCCAAGATGGCGATCTCTCAGAACCGGCGATCTTTTCCTGAAAAAAACTTGAAATTTTCTATACCTGTGTATTTTACGCACCCCCCACTTGGGGTATTAAATTTCTGAAAAAAAAGTGCGCAAATTACATGGGTTTTTACGGTAATTTCATTTGAGTACATGTACCAAGGGCTGTCTCAAAATAAACAAGGCTGTTAATATACAATTATGGACTTCAGGTGAGGTCTATCCCTGATTTACGTATGGACATGGTCTGAACAACATTCACAGAGGCAGAAGGCCGAGGTGAATGTTGTTCAGACCAGGTCCGTAAATCAGGGATAGACCGAAACTGAAGTCCACAATTGTTTTATTATATGACATTTTACTATGAGATTAATAATTTTTCAAGTCTTAAACACATGGATGGCATGGACCATTTTGGAATCCCAGAGTGAAGGACTTCCAATACAAAATATCATACACACAAATTCAATTTTCAGATTCAATTCATGTGATATTTAATTTCAAGTAAATATTATTTGCACAATCGACAAAAAAATTATGAGATAGAATTCAGTATTGTAATTGGTAACAGAACTACAGCCTGGCTGGGAAATTACCTAGGCCTATTTTTAGTAGCGGTTGATATCTGTAACACTTTTCTATTCATAGAACGAGGTCTGTAACATATTTACAGACTCGTCACATGACGTCGCTCCTACAATCAGGGCTGGGAATTAGCACCCGTCATATAATAAACTCTGATAAAGGTTTATATCTGACTGTTATTTACTTTAATACAATTTTAAATGTGACCAGTCATTTTGACCACTGATGTAGCAGGTAAAAATGATGCAATGCTATCAATAAATTAACGATAATAAGTAAAAATAGTGGTTGGCATTTATTTGTAAAAAAATATATATATATATTAGTAAGAATATGTGTTCATTTTAAATCTGTATGTAAATACCTTAAAATGATTCTCCAATTTTGTTCTTAGTCCCCCTTACTGTTATGAATCTCATTGAAGCTGGTTAAAATCTTGTATAATCCATTCCTGTTCAAGATATATACAGGACACATGTATTTGATATGATGCTGTAAAACTTGAGTGGGTTTGTATATTAAACAAAAGAATCTTCAGAAAATTGCATTCTTAAAGATTAAATTCAACTAACAACTGCTTTGATTCTCTTTGAAGTATATAATCAAACTGTATATAAGGATATGTTTGGTATGTTGCAGACTTTAAACCCAAATTCATCAGCAGACGAAAACGACAGCTGCCCTATGACCTGGTGGACGACCCATTTTCTGATGACTTCAATGAACAGTACCCACGTAAGTATCATAATACTGTAGACTACTCATTGCTTATAACCTGATCAGGTGATCAGGTGGTGCAATGCCAATGAATCGTGATGAGCGGGTCAACTTTGTTAAGACACATTTGTCCTCCAACAACCTGCAGTCTTCCATTCGTTGCATCCTGCTGTTGAATTCCCTGTTTATAGAGTACATGTAGTATACTATTCTGTGTTGGTCTTTGTAGCAGCACTCTATGACAGCTTTGTTTTTAGTCCACCATGATAATATTCAAATCCCTCTGCATCTGTGGTATCTCCAACCATCCGTCCGTCATTCTGTCAAATTGTCTGCCCTTAAACAATTATTATTAGCACTATTTCTCAGAACGCACTGAAGGGATCTTTCTCAAATTTCATATGAAATTCTCCATGGTCCTTTAAAATGTATTTCAAATTTTGGACTGATCACAAAACTAAGATGGCCGACAAGCAGCCATCTTGAATTTGTGGGTTTAAGTTTGTTAGCTCTATTTCTCAGAATGTATTGGAGGCATCTTTCACAAATTTGATCTGTAGGTTCCTCTTAGTCTTTAGTGGTACATGTTAATGCTAAGACTGACCAGAGGAATAAGCTAGCTGTCAGATAAACTAATCAAACAAAAGACGAAAGAACTAACGAAGATGGTGCAATGATGGGCACCAAGATCCCTCTGGGATCTCTTGTTTCCGTTACATGGAATTATACGGCAACATTTTGATGGGTGAAGTTATCAGCTGACAAAACAAACTGGACAACATGCATCCAGAACTTATCAGGAACAGAAAACATCAGTCGCTTTTTAAGAAATTGAGTGATTTTTTTAAAAAATAATATCTGGGGCATCATTGTTAGAGCAGGCATCATATTGTCATGTTCAATACAGTATATTTCTGTTCACTGTGGTCAAGTGAAGTGCAAGTACAATTGATACTTGTTTTATGATCCATGGTTACCACAGAAACACTAAAATATGTATCCCATGAGATATAATTCATCTGCAATAGGCATTCCCTAGAATCTATCAGCTCAAAAGCTTCATATAAACAATTAAAGTGATAAGAATTGTTGTTATAAACAATTAAAGTGATAAGAATTGTTGTTCCGATTTCAGAGATGGAGCTGTTTGAGCCTCGTTGTCGGGAGCTACCCAACAACACGATAATGTGTGACCAGGAGCTGTATAACAATGTGGACGCCTGGAAGAACCACAAGGGCCAACTGGACGAGATGATACAGGAGTACAGAAAGATGCTGGAGGACCTGAGGGTAAGGCCTGGTATATGGTTACCTTGATATCTGATGTATCTACCGTATTTCACCGCAAAATAGTCCTCACCTCTAGCAGTGACAGCCCAGAATGGTCCTGACCTCTGGCAGTGACAGCCCAGAATAGTCCTGACCTCTGGCAATGACAGCCTAGAATGGTCCTGACCTCAGGCAGTGACAGCCCAGAATGGTCCTGACCTCTAGCAGTGACAGCCAAGAATGGTCCTGACCTCTAGCAGTGACAGCCCAGAATGGTCCTGACCTGTAGCAGTGACAGCCCAGAATAGTCCTGACCTGTAGCAGTGACAGCCCAGAATAGTCCTGACCTCGGACAGTGACAGCCCAGAATAGTCCTGACCTCTGGCAGTGACAGCCCAGAATAGTCCTGACCTCAGGCAGTGACAGCCCAGAATAGTCCTGACCACAGACAGTGACAGCCCAGAATAGTCCTGACCTCAGACAGTGATAGCCCAGAATGGTCCTGACCTCTAGCAGTGACAGCCCAGAATGGTCCTGACCTCTAGCAGTGACAGCCCAGAATAGTCCTGACCTCTAGCAGTGACAGCCAAAAATGGTCCTGACCTCAGACAGTGACAGCGCAGAATAGTCCTGACCTCTAGCAGTGACAGCCCAAAATAGTCCTGATCTCTGGCAGTGACAGCCCAAAATAGTCCTGACCTCTGGCAGTGACAGCCCAGAATAGTCCTGACCTCTGGCAGTGACAGCCCAGAATGGTCCTGACCTCTGGCAGTGACAGCCCATAATAGTCCTGACCTCTGGCAGTGACAGCCCAGAATACACCTATTGTATTTTTGGGTCATCTGGTTCTTCTAATAACATCTTGTCTGGCCCGTATTTTTGAACCATTTAAAGATACTTGGTGAACCTCACGTATATACCTACAGCACACACTAGAGGTGTGCAGTGTACTTTAGATAGTTAAGTCACCATGACTTCACCTCAAGATCAAAGGTCAAATTAAATGTCAAATGCAAAGTGTCTATTTAAGCATTTAACTGCTTTCAGTTGGCATTCATATTAACTATGAATGTCAACTGAAAGCAGTTCAATACTTATATTTACCATTTTTGGAATCTGAAAATTCTATTACATGTACACCTATTATTATTTAGTTCAAATAATGTATGTGTCGTGTGTGCTTGTTCAATCAATAGAACAGCCATTGCCCAGGGAGAGTCAGTGGTATCCAAGGTAACAATTATGACCTTATAAAACTTATGACGCAACAATCAGTCCATGGCATTGATAGCCTATATGAATGCCAACTGAATATTGTAGGGTTATGTGATGGCAATGCTATATGATGGTAAATATTTATTTTCGATGAAATCCATGGATGAATATACTTTTGTTCAGTGATAAATATACAATATAAATATCAGTTGGGATGATAACTTTGTTTTACCTTTGACAATAAAGTATCAGTTAAGCATTGTGTCATGTTTGATCACAGCAGATTTTTAGATTAGATCAAGGGGCTTCAAATACAAAAGAAGAAAGTAAAATAAAAATATTCAAGATAAAAAGCATAAAATTTTGTCTTCACTCAATACCATTAATTTACCTGTAATTCTGTTTGTATGGGATGTATCAGAAACAGCTGTAAATATGGTTACTAAGTGGTATGTGTTTTAACCCCAGACATATCGGCGACACCTGAAAACTACGAAGCCTAAAGACTCGTACCTGTCTCAGTTTGGTGATGATGAGAGTGGGCCCGGTTACCTCGACAACACAGATGGGTACTTATCACCTGACCTAACCGACCCAGATTGTGACTGTGATGACAATCTTCCGTAAGTGCTGGTACCCTCGCTGTACAAGGAGCTCAGCTAGTTATCATTAAATGGCTTAGGTTATCATTTAATGGCTCAGGTTATCATTAAATGGCTTAGGTTATCATTTAATGGCTTTCCAGATAATCATTTCATCATTTCAGTTTCATTCAAAAATCTTGTCTTGTGCTCGACTTTGGACCAGAGTTGTTTATTTATGAAATGGGGCCGACCTACTAGTGGTTTGCTGTTTTCTGGTTTTCATTGGCAAAACTTTCAAAGCCTGCATAAACTTTTACAGTTCTGTCAGGTTTTATCCCTGAACTATCATACTTATAGATAAACCACTATTAAAATGACCCATTTTTAGCTCACCTGGTCAAAAGGTTATGCCATGGCGTGGCGTCCGTTCGTCATCCGTCATCCGTCAACTTTTCCTAAAAATCGCTACTTGTTATGAACAGAAGCAGATTTTGACCAAATTTGGTCTGAAGCATCCTTGGGGGAAGGGGAACAAAGTTTGTATAAACCGTGGGTCTGGCCCCCCTGAGGGGCGGGGCCCAATAGAGGAAATATAGCAAATTCTTTAAAATCCTTCTTCTTCTGTAGGAATGAAAGGATTTGTTCCATATTTGGTCTGAAGCATATTTGGGTGAAGGGGAACCAATTTTGTATAAACTGTTGGTCTGGCCCCCAGGAGCCTGAGGCATGGGGCCCAATAGGGGAAATATAGCAAATTCTTTAAAATCCTTCATATTCTGTAAAAATGAAAGGATTTGTTCTTTATTTGGTCTGAAGCATCCTTGTGGGAAAGGGGACAAGTTATGTATAAACCGTGGGCCCCGCCCCCCTGAGGGCTGAGGGGCGGGGCCCAATAGGGGAAATATTGCAAATTCTATAAAATCCTTCTTCTTCTGTAGGAATAAAAGGATGTGTTCCATATTTGGTCAGAAGCATCCTTGGGAGAAGAGAAATGGTGGGTTTGGCCCCCCTGGGGGCTGAGGGGTGGGGCCCAATAAAGGAAATATTGCAAATTCTTTAAAGTCTTTCTTCTTCTGTAGGAATGAAAGGATTTGTTCCATATTTGGTCTGAAGCATCTTTGGGTGAAGGGGAACCAATTTTTAGCTCACTGGGTCCGAAGGACCAAGGTGAGCTTATGCCATACCTTGGCGTCTGTCGTGTGTCCGTCGTCCGTACGTCAACAATTTCTTTAAGACTTCTTCTTCTTAACCACTGATTGGAATTTGACTTATATTGACTGGAAGCATCCCTAGGTGGTTGGGATTCAAAATCGTTCAAATGGTTGGGCTGACCCCCCAGGGGGCTGAGGGGAGGGGCCAAAAGGGGACAATTTGGCTATATTGCTTTAAGTGACTTCTTCTCTGTAACTAAGAGATGGATATCAACCATATTTGACTGGAAGCATCCCTAGGTGATGGGGATTCAAAAGTGTACAAATAGTGGGACTGACCCTTAAGGGGGCTTAGGGCGGGGCCAAAAGGGGGCAATTTGGCTATATTGCTATAAACAAGTTCTTCTGCAGAACTATGCCATGGATATCAATCATATTTGGTTGGAAGCATTCGTGGGAGGCAAGGATTCAAAATTGTACAAATTGACCCCCCGGGCTAAGGGGTGGGGCCAAAAAAAGTTTATTACTTGGAAACCATATATACAATTGCTGAGTATAAAGAGAAGAATGCACATTTGCTACCAGGATGGCCCTAGGGTCTGGCCCCACCCTTGGCGACATAGTTACTGGATCATAACTTTGAAACAGTTGAGATCCCCACCCCAGAACTATATGTACAAATGCTGGGCATAAAGAGACGAATGCAGTCATGCTATTAGAATAGACCCCAGATCCCCACCCCATAACCATACATAAAATTGCTGGGCATGAAAAATCTAATACAGATATGCTACAAGGATTGGCCTTGGGGTCGGGCATATTCCCTTGGATCTCATTTGGAGAATATTTTGCCATGATTGCTTAGATATCCAGGTGAGCGCTACAGGCCCTCTGGGCCTCTTGTTTATACAATTTTATGTAGAAAATAACTTTCTGGCTATTTTACCTGTTTATCCCCTCCGCTTTCACCGAAACGGGGGATATTCATTTGGGTTTGTCCGTCTGTCGGTCACGCTTTGTTTCCGTGCAATAACTGCAGCAAATGTTAACTGATTTTCTTCAAACTTGGTTACAGGGTTAAATGCTTTAAGGGCTCGGCCAAGTTCGATGACTACTTACAGCAGACTTTATTTGGCGGAGTTATGGCCCCTTGAATAACGAAAAATGTCATTTTCTGCCGTTTCTGTTCATCAACTCTCGCAAATATTATCCGTTTATATATAAACTTAGTAACAGGGTTCAACGCATTGAGGGCTCGGCCAAGTTTACAACAGGACTCCATTTGGCGGAGTTATTCTCTGGTATGTGCATTGACGGTAATCCGACCCTCAGTGCTATGTACACCAACCAAACTTGGACCATAAATGCATCTTAGGTATTAAATCTCAACCCATACATCAAATGCTGGATGCGCCTACCTTTCATGGTCCATTGACATTAAGTTTTTGCATTTAAGTTAGTTTCTCTGATATGTGCATTGATGGTCAAAGCGGGGCATAGGCAAGACATATCAATCCGAAAGGCTAGTTTGCTTTATTTTCTTCTCAATTATTAGGGCCCCGTATCGGAGATACGGGTGCCCTATAGTAATCACTCTGTCTGTCTGTCTGTCTATCTGTCCGTCCACAAATTTTGTTCCTGGCTAATAACTTTAGTATTTATTGACCGATGTGCATGAAACTTGGTCAAGATGTTTAGTTCACAAAAATACACATTGAGGTAAAAAGTCAAGGTCAAAGGTTAAGGTCATTATGTTCAAAGGTAAAGGTCAAATTTTACATCTTTTCACTGATGAACATTTTGTTATGACATTATGAAGCAAAGTTGATCAGAATTAAACAAGGAGTCAACCTGACCAAAGGTCAAGGTCATCAGGTCAGGGATCAAGGTCAAATTTTGTAGCTTTTCACTGGTGAACATTTCGCTATGACATTATGAAGCAAAGTTGTTCGGAATTAAACAAAGAGACACACTGAGGTAAAAAGTCAAGGTCAAAGGTTAAGGTCATTATGTTCAAAGGTAAAGGTCAAATTTTACATCTTTTCACTGATGAACATTTTGCTATGACATTATGAAGCAATGTTGTTCAGAACTTCACACAGAGTCAACTGACCTTAGGTCCAGGTTATAGGGTTCAAAGGGGCAAGGTCAAGTTTTGTATTTTTTACTGATTAACATTTTGTTATGATATTAAGAAGCAAAGTTGGTCGGAATTAAAGAATAAGTCAACTGACCAAAGATCAGGGTCACTGGGTTAATGGTCAAGGTCATTCTGGTCCAAAGGTCAAAGACAAAGTGGATCTCTGACTTTGACCCTGGCTCTTGATGGAGGAGGTATATAAGGGGAAATAAAACAAATCAAAGCTAACAAATGAGGATTGCACCGGTATTTACATTTCTGTTAGCCCAGCAAATATGGTGGTGGAAGGAAACAAGACTCACATCATAGTATATGTAAAATGTATATTTTGCTTCCTTGCGATTCTTTTTGAAGTCCAAATGTCTAACGTCAAGCTCAGCTATATGGGCAGATTGCTTCTTGATGATTATGGGGGATATATTGCCACAAGACGGCGCCCTTACTGACCTGTCAGTGTTCTAGTTTCTTCTGTCTGTCCGTTGTATTCATTAATATTGCTCCTTCAATCAGTGAACAATTTACATTTGGTTTAAATGAATACAACATCTACGTGTCATGTGACAGGCTGGTATTGTTTCACCCCTGTGTCATGTGACAGGCTTGTATTGTTTCGCCCCTGTGTCATGTGACAGGCTTGTATTGTTTCATCCCCGTGTCATGTGACAGGATTGTATTGTTTCACCCCTGTGTCATGTGACAGGCTTGTATTGTTTTACCCCCTTGTCATGTGACAGGCTGGTATTGTTTCACCCCTGTGTCATGTGACAGGCTTGTATTGTTTTACCCCTGTGTCATGTGACAGGCTTGTATTGTTTCACCCCTGTGTCATGTGACAGCCTTGTATTGCTTCACCTGTGTGTCATGTGACAGACTTGTATTGTTTCACCCCTGTGTCATGTGACAGGCTTGTATTGTTTCACCCCCTTGATAGCCGTGGTTTATTTGACACTTATTTTAAATTAAATAGGGGCACAATTCAAGAAAAAAGACAGCGCAGGAAAGATAAAAGGAAAGAGCGAAAAAGAAGAAAATTCAGAAAAAGGAGGAAAAACAAAGATTGCAATAAACCTGACATGAATTGCTTCACCCATGACCATACACATTGGAGGACGCCACCCCTGTGGGATTGTAAGTAGATATTTTAGAACACACTGGAGGATACACCCCTGTGGGATTGTAAGTAGATATTTTAGAACACACTGGAAGATACACCCCTGTGGGATTGTAAGTAGATATTTTAGAACACACTGGAGGACAACCCCCTGTGGGATTGTTAGTAGATATTTTAGAACACATTGGAGGACACACCCCTGTGGGATTGTAAGTAGGTATTTTAGAACACATTGGAGGACACCCCCCTGTGGGATTGTAAGTAGATATTTTAGAACACATTGGAGGACAACCCCCTGTGGGATAGTAAGTAGATATTTTAGAACACATTGGAGGACACACCCCTGTGGGATTGTAAGTAGATATTTTAGAAGACATTGGAGGACACCCCCCTGTGGGATTGTAAGTAGATATTTTAGAACACATTGGAGGAGACACCCCTGTGGGATTGTAAGTAGATATTTTATCAAGGAGTTACACTTGACTAAAAGGGCATCTGCCTGTGACATTTGTTATTTAATAGTGTTTTTGATCCAACAGCTAATTAAGGGAAAGTCTTGTGCATACATACAACAACATTTTAAACAAATATTGTAAGCTATTTATATTCTGTTGATACCTTTTTTTTTCTTTTTTCTTCTTTCTATTTTCTGTTTGTTTATCATGCCTGGATGTTGTGGTCACCTTTTTGTGTTGCTAACCCTTACACCACTATAAACCGTAATGGACTAATCGAGATCAGTTCATTGTAGAGTCTACTTAAGTTACATAGGGGTGAAAGGGCTAAGCAAACACTACAATGTTACCAACACTCCTGCATTTTATTTAGGTCACCTGACCTATTCTGATCGGTTTCCGTCCGTCGTCGTCTGTCGTGCGACGTGCGTCATCCGTCGTTTGTAAACTTTTTACATTTTCGACTTCTTCTCAAGAACCAGGGGATGAAATTTTTTCAAACTTGGTCAGATTCATCCTTGGTAGATGAGGCTACAAAATTGTAAAATTGGGATTCCTACCCCAACCCCTGAGGGGCCAGGGTGGGGCCCCAAAGGGAAAATTAACCAATATTTCAAAAATCATCTTCTCCAGACTCAGAGGTACTACATTTATTTTCTCTGGATGGATGGAAAGATCAGCAGGGGCTTTATTTAAATTTAGGACCCTGAGCCTTCCATTCTCCCTTAGGGAGGGGGTAAAGTTTACTATAGTTTATATAGGGAAATAACACTTTTCGGTATATTTTGACAATTTTCTGTAGGAAATTATTCTTACTTGGTGAGAATTATCCTTGGAAGAAGATGGTTTCAAATTGTAAAATTGGGATTCCTACCCAAACCCGAGGGGCCAGGGCGGGGTCCCAAAGGGAAAATTAACCAATATTTCAAAAATCTTCTCCACACTCAGAGGTACTACAGTCAATTTCTGTGCATGGATAGAAAGATCATCAGGGGCTAATTTACTGAAATTGTAAATTTTAGGACCTCCCGACCATCTGTTCTCTCTTGGAGAAGAGGTAAAGTTTACTATAGTTTATATAGGGAAGTAATACTTTTGGGTATATTTTATTTATTTTCAGCAGAAAATTACTCAAACTTGCATTGGTCAGAATCATCTTTGGTGGATGAGGGTATTACATCGTAAAATCGGATTCCTGCCCCATCCCCAGGGGCTAGGGTGGGGCCCCAAAGGGAAAATTTACCAATATTTTAACATTCTTATCCTTAATTTGATGACATAACAAGTTTTGTATTTCACTTGGTTTACATGCTGATTTCCACATCACATCTCAACAATGATATTGAGCTACCAGTACCTATAATATAACTCAGGTGACCGCTAAGGCCCTTGGGACTCTTGTTTTATTTTTTTTCTGATTTGCTTCTACTTTGCTTAATCAATTTGGTGATCTTTATTGTAATGTTATGTATCTCCGCTGATTTTCCTTGGGTAGACTGAGGCAATAAGGGGACAGCCTGTCTGATGATGTGTGTTACTTAAAATAGAAACTATATTTATTTCATTTTTTCACATTTTGGAGGCAACTTGTTCATATTTTTAGTTGCATTCGAAATTTACATTGGAATCACCTAATGCTTGATTTGTTAAAATGTGATGAGATTGCTCTTCTTAAAAAGCCCCCATGGTATTCATAGAACTTTTTCTGCAGTTAAAGTACAGCTCTAACTTGTCAGGTTTTGTTATCAACAATCTAAAGGTCACAATATTTTAGACACATGATATCTCAGACTAACATTGCTGACAGCTTAGAATGTCATAGTGCTTTCTCTATGGTGAATTTGTTACCAGACTTTAACAAAAATTTGCTTTTTAAGTTCATTTAACTGACAATATATCTTGGTAGTCCTTGATAATAGTAACCATCAATATGTCCCACAAAATGTATGATAGCTTGGAAAGTTTGTACACACAACACACATGCTCATCAAGCACACGTCAAAATCGAGGTATACATGTAGCATCAGATTAGGTAAAAAAACAAGTCATTGTGAATGAAAACAAAAGATTCCATTTTCTTCATTTTTTTCCCCCTATTTACAAATTATTTGCGAACCTTCCACTGACAAAATACAGCATCTGATAGAAAAGTACTAGTTTAAAGAAGACAATGGTCCAGGTCAGAGTAGGAGGATTGTAGATCAGCCCCTATTACAAGATACTGAACTCACAACATAACGGCTATATCCTTCCGTAATATACTGAACTTCAGCTAATAACATATATAACCTCGTTACTTACAGTATCTCTTAATAATAGATTTTTACTGAGTTACTTACAGCATCTCTTAATATTAGATTTTTACTTAGTTAGTTACAGTATCTCTTAATAACAGATTTTTACTTAGTTACTTACAGCATCTCTTAATATTACATTTTTACTTAGTTAGTTACAGTATCTCTTAATAATAGATTTTTACAAAGTTACTTACAGTATCTCTTGATAATAGATTTTTACTTAGTTACTTACAGTATCTCTTAATAATAGATTTTTACTAAGTTACTTACAGCATCTCTTAATAATAGATTTTTACTTAGTTTCTTACAGTATCTCTTAATAATAGATTTTAACTTCGTTACTTACAGTATCTCTTAATAATAGACTTTTACTGAGTTACTTACAGTATCTCTTAATAATAGATTTTTACTTAGTTTCTTACAGTATCTCTTAATAGAAGATTTTTACTTAGTTCCTTACAGTATCTCTTAATAATAGATTTTTACTTAGTTACTTACAGCATCTCTTTGATAATAGATTTTAACTTCGTTACTTACAGACTAAATTAACTATCTCTAAATCACAACATAACGGCTGTATCCTTCTGTAGTATATTGAACTTCAGCTATTATCATAACTTCGTTACTTACAGTATCTCTTAATAATAGATTTTAACTTCGTTACTTACAGTATCTCTTAATAATAGACTTTTACTGAGTTACTTTACTTACAGTATATCATAATAATAGACTTTTACTAAGTTACTTCAAGAATTCCTTTATAATAGATTTTTACTTAGTTACTTACATCACAGCCGCACACAACAATGGTCTATGGAGCATTATTCTATTTAAAGCATGCTCACATTTAATAATGTCTGTCTAAGGGGAGTCCTGGCTCTATCATTGACAATATTGTTTTACTGCTATACATTATTTAGGTGACCTACCACAAAAAAGTTCAGGAACAGTTTATATCTGTATTCAATATCCTAAATTCTGTGCCACAACTTTTCTTTGCACTGAGTTATTCCCCTTTGTTAAAACCTCTCTAACCCAAAAGATTTTTTGTTCCCTTTGATTTCACCAACTTTTATATTAGCACGCACATGGAATCTGCCACCTAATACAAAAATGCGCCGGATGAACCATCCTGCTTGCAAGCGAGGTCAAATGGAGTGTTACCTTATGGACGATACCCACTGGAAAACACCTCCTCTCTGGACCTGTAAGATCTATATCCCAGGATGCTCTGTGTGTTTAGGTCACTTAGTGGAGATGTTCAAGGTGACCCAAAAGGAATTAGGGTTAAATCATACAAAAATAAACCAAAGGGACGTATCTTCAATACTGTTCTGCTTTCTCTGTGTGCTATGGTTGGTATTCCGTCTTTGCGTATTGCAGAGTTATCTTCTCTTGGGAGCAGGTATTGATTGTTACGTCACTGGTTTGTGTGAGAAAATTACGTCGTTTTCTCAAAAATTGATGACGTTACTCTCACAAACAAGTGACGTAACAATCAATACCTGCTCCCAAGAGAAGATAACTCTGCAATATGCAAAGACGGAACTGTGGTGATATTTTTTTGGCTTTTGTTTGAAAAGTTCCTTACTTTTACCATAATGCTACTACATACATATTGATTATTTCATTTGTAAAAAAAAAAAGCTTTTTTCTAGGACACTTTAGTGAAATGTTTTTGCTTGTTACGCATAAATTAAATTTGGCTTATTTTTGACCTTTGAACCCTGATCCTTTGAGTGATTTTGACAATTCTGATCAAACAAATTTTTCATTACCTTTGTTGTGGTAATTAAATGTTTGTTGATCTAAATTAATTACTGTGTAGTTTTTCATTAATATTTCTCTCAGTTTTTTAATGAACAAATGTACTAAAACCAGTACGTGATCCTTATATGACTAAATGATCATTTACCTATATCTTACCAGAGTGTCTGTCTGTCGGTCATTTAAGAATTTGATTTCAAACTGTAAATCAGATATCTCTCATATCATCAGGACATAGTGTTTTATTCCTTGCATTGTTTCCGTTTAAAAATTGAGAGACATATTTTATTGTTTGGGAGCTCACCATACAAAGGGGAAGGAATTATTTTATTTCCTTATAAGGTGCAGCATTTCGATCAAGGCAGCATCATGTTGGATGGTTAGAATATTTTTCAAAATTGGTTAGCATTTTTGAGTAAGTATTATATAAAGGAGATGGTGTTTCCTTTCTATGGTGTGTTACCATACACTAAGTAAGGTTTGGGTTCTCTCCCCTTTCTGGGTGTTGAACAACTTCCTTTGTTGTTGTACCCAAACAGCAGCAAAGTGGAATCTACCGCCGGATGAAAAAATCCGCCGCAAGAATCATCCTGCCTGCAAACGGGGAGAAATGGAATGTGGTCTCATGGACAACTCCCATTGGAGAACTCCTCCCATCTGGACCAGTAAGCCAGACATATAACCCCTGACCTCTCACTCTTCACCTTTGACCCATTTAAGGCTGTTGCTAGTTAGTTACAGCTTACTGGCTTTAGATTATAATTTCTATAGAGCTGATGAATTTAAGATAGATTCTACTTGAGTACAAACTATGCACGGTCTCAAACGGTGGCGCTTGCTTTTGCACTTCCTAGTGGGTGTATTTGTAATTAATGGACAAGCTTTGCTTTTATAAAACCTTACCAACTTACCATAACTACAGTTATCTCTTCTCTGAATGATTTAATTCATTGTAATTATTTAATTATGAAAATTAATCTTTTCCCATCATTGAGAACAAAGTACTTAGAAATTTGGTATAATAAAGAAACAAAAATCTGGTTTTAGAGTTATCTCCCTTCAACTATAATCATACCATATTAGAAAGACAGATTTCCATGTTGTTGTTGCTTGCGATGCCATAGAAATGTAGCTGCTGACATACATTCCTTAATTCAGGGACGGTTTGACTACTGCATGGCACTAAAGTCTACTGCTCCATTATGTACAACCATTGCATACACACCAATACGTTACCGTGAAATCTTTGCCTATTTCGCTCTGGAACTGGCTGAATTCAACACGAGGCGGAAATCGTGATACATATGGTTATGCAGGTCTCAAACTTTGAAAGAACGTGATTTTCATCACTTAATGAAATCATTCAAAATTCCAGAGTGCTAAATTTGAGTGGGGCAAAAATACTACGGTTTCAGTACCTTGTTCATTAAGCACTAATCAGTCTGATGAGCTCTTCACAGTTTGCCTTGCTTGTTTATCGTGCTGTCATTTGTCCTACTCTGACTACATACTGTATATGGATTTTAGGTTCATGTATTTCATGATTGTGTTATTAAAATATCTTGTCAATGACTGAAGATTATTTGGTATTGGGTTACCTACCCTGCTCTGATCACTTTTGTCAAGCTAACTTTCACATGGCAGTTTTATAGCATTTTGTCACATTGTCATCATGTTTAGATAAGTTACCTTTTCAAAAAGTCCCTACCCCGGAAAACAAATACTAGATACAGATAGCATTGATCAGTCTGATGTCCTACCCCTGGTTGTGGCCAGGAACAGATTTTTGATGAAACTTTGCATAAATGTTACCCTTTACATTTACCTGTACATGTGGGACTGCCATTCTAAAGTGAATCATGGCCCGGCCCTTGATCTACTTTGCTCAAAGCATCATATAAAACATTTTTGTTTAAAGTGCTTGCTTCAAATTGTACCCGTGTTTTAGTGTAAATAACATGTTGCAACTACTAGTTATAGAACACTGTTAAGGACTGCTCTGATATAGAACACTGTTAAGGACTGCTCTGTTATAGAACACTGTTAAGGGCCGCTCTGTTTAACTACTAGATATAGAACACTGTTAAGGACTGCTCTGTTATAGAACACTGTTAAGGACTGCTCTGTTTACCTACTAGATATAGAACACTGTTAAGGGCCGCTCTGCTTAACTACTAGATATAGAACACTGTTAAGGACTGCTCTGTTTACCTACTAGATATAGAACACCGTTAAGGGCCGCTCTGTTTAACTACTAGATATCGAACACTGTTAAGGACTGCTCTGATATAGAACACTGTTAAGGACTGCTCTGTTATAGAACACTGTTAAGGACTGCTCTGATATAGAACACTGGTAAGTGACGCTCTGTTTAACTAATAGATATAGAACACTGTTAAGGGCCGCTCTGTCTAACTACTAGATATAGAACACTGTTAAGGACTGCTCTGATATAGAACACTGGTAAGTGACGCTCTGTTTAACTAATAGATATAGAACACTGTTAAGGGCCGCTCTGTCTAACTACTAGATATAGAACACTGTTAAGGACTGCTCTGATATAGAACTCTGTTAAGGACTGCTCTGTTATAGAACACTGTTAAGGACTGCTCTGATATAGAACACTGTTAAGGACTGCTCTGTTATAGAACACTGTTAAGGGCCGCTCTGTTCAACTACTAGATATAGAACACTGTTAAGGGCCTCTCTGTTTAACTACTAGATATAGAACACTGTTAAGGGCCGCTCTGTTAACTACTAGATATAGAACACTGTTAAGGGCTGCTCTGTTTAACTACTAGATATAGAACACTATTAAGGGCGCTATGTTTAACTACTAGATATAGAACACTGTTAAGGGTTGCTCTGTTTAACTACTAGATATAGAACACTGTTAAGGGCCACTATGTTTAACTACTAGATATAGAACACTGTTAAGGGTCGCTCTGTTAACTACTAGATATAGAACACTGTTAAGGGCCACTATGTTTAACTACTAGATATAGAACACTGTTAAGGACTGCTCTCTTTACCTACTAGATATAGAACACTGTTAAGGGCCGCTCTGTTTAATTACTAGATATAGAACACTGTTAATGGCCGCTCTGTTTAACTACTAGATATAGAACACTGTTAAGGGCCGCTCTGTTTAACTACTAGATATAGAACACTGTTAAGGGCCGCTCTGTTTATATTAACTACTAGATATAGAACACTGTTAAGGGCCGCTCTGTTTAACTACTAGATATAGAACACTGTTAAGGGCCGCTCTGTTTATCTACTAGTTATAGAACACTGTTAATGGCCGCTCTGTTTAACTACTAGATATAGAACACTGTTAAGGGCAGTTATATTAGTATTGCTATGAAATACCTTGTTAAGAACAATTCCATAGATTTTTTGTGGATTCAGTGAAAAATGTCTGTGCCAGTACCAGCTATGTGTTGGACGTGCTGGTCATGGTAATGTCACGACTAGACAAAGTAGGGTACAGATCTAACACAATTCTGTAAATCACTTTATTTTGCAAACCTGCATGCCTGTTCAGGTTCTTATCCATGAATAATTCCTTTTTTTAATATTGATCATAATTATCTCTTGAATTCATTAATTCACAGAACATTTCAATTTCCAAATGAGCCCACCAGTAAATTGCTAAAGTAATTTCTTGCGAAAATAAAGTGATTGACAGTACTTGAATTTCATTCACTCGAAAAATTGACATTTACTGCAGTAAGTACAAGATTATGGTATAAAATCATTTTTTTTCCAGATGGGCCATTTTGCTACTGTACAAACTCCAATAACAACACCTACTGGTGTCTGAGGACGGTGAACCAGACACACGACCTGCTGTATTGTGAGTTCATCAACAACTTCATTAGTTACTACGACCTGTTAACCGACCCTTTCCAGGTAAGTTCAACTCCTACGGTTGGGAGAAATGTGTGTTCTCAATACTTTTGCGTCACCTGCAAAATAAAATGACGTCACTGATGTCTGTGTCAGTAATAACAGTTCAAGGAATGTTATTTTCAATAAATTCTCTACTTCACCAGTAATATTCACCCTCTCATCATTGATTTCGAACCAAATCTGACAACTATCAATTGTCATGGCTGCCGATGGCCAACTTGGATATTATTTAAAAAATTGCATATTTCTGTGAACCCTTGAAGGAATTATTAGATTTTCAACAAAACGGGAGGATAAATTAAAGATCTTGTGCTAGTGAGTGAAGAATAATTATTTACTTGGGAGATTGAATATCTTATACCTAAAAAAGTCAAAATGTTATCATAATTTCGTGTATATCAACGGGAACAAAACACTCATGGAATATGGAGAGATGGCAGACCTTTATATTTTCCCCTTCTTTTAAAATTACATCTCTCTACCTTCATCATTTCACAAACAAAACTAAAACTGAATTTGATTTTACTAACCAACAGGAAGTGAACACTATACACCAGGTGAACTACGGCGTGTTACAGCAGCTCCACGACCAGCTCAACGAAATGAGGGCATGCAAAGGACACAGAGAATGTGACAAGGCCGGCACATGTACGTAAATATAATGTGACAAGGCCGGCACATGTACGGAAATATAATGTGACTTTACTGACGTCGGACAGACGGCACTGATGTACGTACATAACCTGACTTTACTGATCGATGTCCGATGGAACTAGATTGGTTGGTTAGACATGGCAGTGTGTTTGTGAAAGCAGTGTTTAAGACAAAGAAACCTCTTCCTTGGGTCATACCATAATGTCTGATAAATACAGGAAATTTCCTAAAGTCAGATTATCAGTAAAGTTAGGTATCGATAAAATTAGGTGTCTCTAAAGCCAAGTGTCTGTAAAGTCAGGTGTCTCTAAAGCCAAGTGTCCGTCAAGTCAGGTGTCTCTAAAGCCAAGTGTCTGTCAAGTCAGGTGTCTCTAAAGCCAAGTGTCAGTTAAGTCAGGTGTCTCTAAAGCCAAGTGTCAGTAAAGTCAGGTGTCTCTAAAGCCAAGTGTCTGTAAAGTCAGGTGTCTCTAAAGCCAAGTGTCTGTCAAGTCAGGTGTCTCTAAAGCCAAGTGTCCGTCAAGTCAGGTGTCTCTAAAGCCAAGTGTCGGTCAAGTCAGGTGTCTCTAAAGCCAAGTGTCAGTCAAGTTAGGTGTCTCTAAAGCCAAGTGTCGGTAAAGTCAGGTGTCTCTAAAGCCAAGTGTCCGTCAAGTCAGGTGTCTCTAAAGCCAAGTGTCCGTCAAGTCAGGTGTCTCTAAAGCCAAGTGTCAGTCAAGTCAGGTGTCTCTAAAGCCAAGTGTCAGTAAAGTCAGGTGTCTCTAAAGCCAAGTGTCTGTAAAGTCAGGTGTCTCTAAAGCCAAGTGTCGGTCAAGTCAGGTGTCTCTAAAGCCAAGTGTCCGTCAAGTCAGGTGTCTCTAAAGCCAAGTGTCGGTCAAGTCAGGTGTCTCTAAAGCCAAGTGTCAGTCAAGTCAGGTGTCTCTAAAGCCAAGTGTCGGTAAAGTCAGGTGTCTCTAAAGCCAAGTATCGGTAAAGTCAGGTGTCTTTTAAGCCTGGTGTTTGTAAAATCAGGTGTCGGTAAAGTCAGGTGTTGGTAAAGTCAAGTGTCGGTAAAGTCAGGTGTCACAGGTTTCACTGTATATCTGTCCTGCTGTGAACATGTAAACCTCAACAGAACAAGATTCTATCCTTATATTTACATTGAATACAATTTCCATAAATTTTGGTAATTCCTAAAATATCGGGCTTGTGATGTCTCGGAAGGTGCCAAATCATGTGACATCATCACTCTCTGTGTGACATCATCACTCTCTGTGTGACGTCATCACTGTCATGTGTGACGTCGTCCTGGTAAGATAATTAGCCATTTTGAATTGATTACAACATTTAAAACAATATGACCAATAATTTTGTTTATTTAAATGGGACAGTCCTGAAAATGCAAATTGAAAATATTAATGTATAAATGGGACTACCTCCTGACTTATTGGTGATGTATTCATATGTCATCTGGAAAAACAAACCTCAGGGTCTTTATACATTGAGTCCAAGCTCAGTAGACATGTACATCTTTATGTATAACTATCATCTACCTTAACAAGTTGAAGCAGCTCCGATATATATAATTAGGTCCCTGATTTGTCCAGACTATCTGTCTGCATCCATCTGTCCGTCTGTCGGTCACACTTTTTGCCAACTCTCTGATCTGGTAGCCCTTGTTTCTGATGAGGTTTTATAGGTGAATCCTCACAGGTATGTTTGCCTTAGTTCAGGGTTTTATAGGTGAATCCTCACAGGTATGTTTGCCTTAGTTCAGTGTTTTATACGTGAATCCTCACAGGTATGTTTGCCTTAGTTCAGTGTTTTATAGGTGAATCCTCACAGGTATGTTTGCCTTAGTTCAGGGTTTTATAGGTGAATCCTCACAGGTATGTTTGCCTTAGTTCAGGGTTTTATAGGTGAATCCTCACAGGTATGTTTGCCTTAGTTCAGGGTTTTATAGGTGAATCCTCACAGGTATGTTTGCCTTAGTTCAGGGTTTTATAGGTGAATCCTCACAGGTATGTTTGCCTTAGTTCAGGGTTTTATAGGTGAATCCTCACAGGTATGTTTGCCTTAGTTCAGGGTTTTATAGGTGAATCCTCACAGGTATGTTTGCCTTAGTTCAGGGTTTTATAGGTGAATCCTCACAGGTATGTTTGCCTTAGTTCAGGGTTTTATAGGTGAATCCTCACAGGTATGTTTGCCTTAGTTCAGGGTTTTATAGGTGAATCCTCACAGGTATGTTTGCCTTAGTTCAGGGTTTTATAGGTGAATCCTCACAGGTATGTTTGCCTTAGTTCAGGGTTTTATAGGTGAATCCTCACAGGTATGTTTGCCTTAGTTCAGGGTTTTATAGGTGAATCCTCACAGGTATGTTTGCCTTAGTTCAGGGTTTTATAGGTGAATCCTCACAGGTATGTTTGCCTTAGTTCAGGGTTTTATAGGTGAATCCTCACAGGTATGTTTGCCTTAGTTCAGGGTTTTATAGGTGAATCCTCACAGGTATGTTTGCCTTAGTTCAGGGTTTTATAGGTGAATCCTCACAGGTATGTTTGCCTTAGTTCAGGGTTTTATAGGTGAATCCTCACAGGTATGTTTGCCTTAGTTCAGGGTTTTATAGGTGAATCCTCACAGGTATGTTTGCCTTAGTTCAGGGTTTTATAGGTGAATCCTCACAGGTATGTTTGCCTTAGTTCAGGGTTTTATAGGTGAATCCTCACAGGTATGTTTGCCTTAGTTCAGGGTTTTATAGGTGAATCCTCACAGGTATGTTTGCCTTAGTTCAGGGTTTTATAGGTGAATCCTCACAGGTATGTTTGCCTTAGTTCAGGGTTTTATAGGTGAATCCTCACAGGTATGTTTGCCTTAGTTCAGGGTTTTATAGGTGAATCCTCACAGGTATGTTTGCCTTAGTTCAGGGTTTTATAGGTGAATCCTCACAGGTATGTTTGCCTTAGTTCAGGGTTTTATAGGTGAATCCTCACAGGTATGTTTGCCTTAGTTCAGGGTTTTATAGGTGAATCCTCACAGGTATGTTTGCCTTAGTTCAGGGTTTTATAGGTGAATCCTCACAGGTATGTTTGCCTTAGTTCAGGGTTTTATAGGTGAATCCTCACAGGTATGTTTGCCTTAGTTCAGGGTTTTATAGGTGAATCCTCACAGGTATGTTTGCCTTAGTTCAGGGTTTTATAGGTGAATCCTCACAGGTATGTTTGCCTTAGTTCAGACAAGTTGGAATATGGGTGTGATTGGTCAGTGGCCAAGTCACTTTATAAAACTGGGATTTCACAAACTCCCACTAACAGTATACCACACGTTGATGATCTCATAAAAACACCGGTATATTGATGAAAATCTCTTTTCTTTTGTCTAGTGAAAGAAAGAAGAAATCGGGACAACTTTGATGACGATGACGACTTCAACGACGAGGAACTCAATGACTACATAGACAATGGGAACACAGATTTTAGCTGATCGTAACTGTTAACCCTTTCACCCCTTTATAACTTAAGTAAACTCTACCATGCATTGATCTGGATGAGTCCATTGTGGTCTACAGTGGTGAAATGGTTAAATAGTAATTTCATGTGTGAATGGTTTGTCCATCAGTACAGAGTGGAGGTAAACTCTCAAAATGTTTGTGATGAAAGGTAAACAAATTGTGATTGATGGGACAGTTTTAGATATTACAAACCTTCTATGAATTTCTGAGAAAGAGGACTCGGTGACAATGGAGGATATGTGCTGACGTGATTGGAGAAAGGAAGTAAGCATGTATGGCAAAGAACGGTAAAAACTCACAGAGGCTGAAACTCCAACCAGATTTAGTACCAGAAACGTAATGTCACCGGGATCTAATAAACAAAACAATTGATGGAGACCGGGAGTTGTAGTCAATGTTGTTGGAACTAAAAATATGGCCAATGTGGAGGTTTCCTAGGGGTTTCCTGGAGGTTTCCTGGGACTTTCCATGAAGTTTTCTGGAGGTTTCCTGGAGGTTTCCCGGAAGTTTCCTTGAAGTTTCCTGGAGATTTTGCTGTGTACGGAAAATGTGTGTGTTGATTGATCAGACCTTCAAAGTTAAAACATCATCAGTTCACGACTTTCAAATGGAAGCACATAATGATATCAATAAAGGAATAACAGCCTGGATAATTATGTTCTCAGTTAGAAACACATTGTCAGCTAGCGAAACAGCTCACGAAACAGTCAACGACACAGGTATTGTTACTTCTAGGATAGCATTAACTTCTTGGTGTTTTTACTTTCCGTAACAGATGGACACAGGAAAACACGATATCACATAAAGAAAAATAAGGGATGAGGAAAAGAGGAAACTCAACATTGTAAAGTAGCATGTCTGATCTTACTGGTGTGGAGAACTGACTGGGTGTTATTAATGATGCTATTAGTCAGTGGTGATGTACAGGAAAACCTCAGTGTTTACTGATGCCATTAGTCTGTGGTGATGTACAGGAAAACCTCACAATTTACTGATGCCATTAGTCAGCGGTGATGTACAGGAAAACCTCAGTATTTACTGATGCCATTAGTCAGTGGTGATGTACAGGAAAACCTCAGTATTTACTGATGCCATTAGTCAGTGGTGATGTACAGGAAAACCTCAGTATTTACTGATGCCATTAGTCAGTGGTGATGTACAGGAAAACCTCAGTATTTACTGATGCCATTAGTCAGCGGTGATGTACTGGAAAACCTCAGTATTTACTGATGCCATTAGTCAGCGGTGATGTACAAGAAAACCTCAGTATTTACTGATGCCATTAGTCAGGGTGATGTACAGGAAAACCTCAGTATTTACTGATGCCATTAGTCGGTGGTGATGTACAGGAAAACCTCAGTGTTTACTGATGCCATTAGTCTGTGGTGATGTACAGGAAACCCTCACAATTTACTGATGCCATTAGTCAGCAGTGATGTACAGGAAAACCTCAGTGTTTACTGATGCCATTAGTCAGCGGTGATGTACAGGTAAACCTCAGGATTTACTGATGCCATTAGTCAGCGGTGATGTACAGGTAAACCTCAGGATTTACTGATGCCATTAGTCAGCGGTGATGTACCGGAAAACCTCAGTATTTACTGATGCCATTAGTCAGCAGTGATGTACAGGAAAACCTCAGTGTTTACTGATGCCATTAGTCTGTGGTGATGTACAGGAAACCCTCACAATTTACTGATGCCATTAGTCAGCAGTGATGTACAGGAAAACCTCAGTGTTTACTGATGCCATTAGTCAGCAGTGATGTACAGGAAAACCTCAGTGTTTACTGATGCCATTAGTCAGCAGTGATGTACAGGGAAACCTCAGTATTTACTGATGACATTAGTCAGCGGTGATGTACAGGAAAACCTCAGTGTTTACTGATGCCATTAGTCAGCGGTGATGTACAGGAAAACCTCAGTGTTACGCCACACGTTAATGTTTTTATTAACAATTACATTTATAGGTATCCCCAATATATCACCAAACCCTGTCATAACATTTATAGGTATCCTCAATATATCTCCAAACCCTGTCATAACAATTATAGGTATCCTCAATATATCACCAAACCCCATCATAACATTCATAGGTATCCCCAATATATCACCAAACCCTGTCGTAACATTTATAGGTATCCTCAATATATCTCCAAACCCTGCCATAACATTTATAGGTATCCTCAATATATCTCCAAACCCTGTCATAACAATTATAGGTATCCTCAATATATCACCAAACCCCATCATGACATTTATAGGTATCCCCAATATATCACCAAACCCTGTCGTAACATTTATAGGTATCCTCAATATATCACCAAACTCCATCATAACATTTATAGGTATCCTAAATATATCACCAAACCCTGTCATAACATCTATAGGTATCCCCAATATATCACCAACCCCTGTCATAACATTGATAGGTATCCTCAATATATCACCAACCCCCATCATAACATTCATAGGTATCCCCAATATATCACCAACCCCTGTCATAACATTGATAGGTATCCTCAATATATCACCAAACTCCATCATAACATTTATAGGTATCCTAAATATATCACCAAACCCTGTCATAACATTTATAGGCATCCTCAATATATCACCAAACCCCATCATAACATTCATAGGTATCCCCAATATATCACCAACCCCTGTCATAACATTGATAGGTATCCTCAATATATCACCAAACTCCATCATAACATTTATAGGTATCCTAAATATATCACCAAACCCTGTCATAACATTTATAGGCATCCTCAATATATCACCAAACCCCATCATAACATTTATAGGTATCCTCAATATGTCACCAAACCCTGTCATAACATTTTGCTGGACAAAGGTGGCAATATAATGAGGTTTTACTCTGCATCAGGGGGTTATATCTTAACCCTTTCACCCCTATGTAACTTTAGTAGACTCTCCCATGCATTGAGCTGGATGAGTCTGGTCTGTAGATAAAGGGTTGATACAGCAAGGGATTTCTGCCTGTAGCTGAATGATAACACCAATAAGTATCAGTCCCTGCCCGCCCCATTGTGGAATCTCAATCAACTCTGTAAGAATTCAACAAGACACAAAAATGATTATATATGCATACTATTGTAAAATATAAGGTCAGTAATTGTGTCACAGGTTATATAAAGAGATGATGGACGCATCTAATGCTGGCTAGGTTATAGTGAAGGTCACTGATAAAGTGGAATCAACCCAATGTCATGTTGGGTTAATATCCTGTCATAGTGAAGGTCTCTGATAAAGTGGAATCTACCTAATGTCATGTTGGGTTAATATCATGTCATAGTGAAGGTCACTGATAAAGTGGAATCTACCTAATGTCATGTTGGGTTAATATCATGTCATAAAACAGCCTTGTGCTCTGTATATATATGAAGCCTGTCATTGAGTTGGTTTTACATCATGATCTAACATACGCTCCTTATCATCTTTAATTGATGGTTTCCCATAATATCGCACATTAAATTCACAAGTATATAGGCTAACGCTATGAGTAAACCTTACTTTCCTGATACAGGATCTGGGGGTCCACTTATCCACCGTGTGTTGATGTCAAACAGAATGTCTCCCCTGAACTAGCATTGCTGTAGTAGGAGAACGGTGGATTTGTATATAATTATTTAAATCTGAAGAAAGTTACATGCATATACTTGACATTTACTTTATTTTCAGATAATGTTTTAATTTTTGTGTCATTTTGCTTTTCATCGTCTGATAAAATGATTCCCAACATCTCACGCCATGTATACTGATAGTGTAGTAATATTGTGTCTGTCTAATGCTGTATGTGTTTACAATTATACATATTTTGTTCTAGTGTATAGCCATTCTGATGCATTCAAACGATAAATGTAATGATTTGATAATACCTGTGATATATGGGATGATTACGCTTGTTTCTGATCATTTGTTTTGTAACTTACATTCAATGTGGATGTGTTTTTAGGCATTGAGTGTGCTTGCTCCAGTTTTAAGTTATCCAGTACATTAAAAATATGCCGGTTTACTTGATAAAGTGACAGCAAAGGATTTTTCATCAACTGTTGTTATATCTGGTGTTAACTCATTCACCCCTGAAATTTCATAATGAACTATTCCAACCTTTGGTCTGGAAGAGTTCAAATGTGTCTTCAGGGGTGAATAAGTTAAATTACTCTGTAGGTAACATTGTTGACATCACTAGTTTAACAGAGGTATTTTGTCAGTGATGGCTTCGGTGTAGCCCTATAGCACTTCGTAATTACTGGTAAAATGTTGTTCCTACTCTGTGGTAAATGTTAGCTGTTGGGGTATTTCTGTTCTATTTGTTTGGTTTTGTTCCTACTCTGTGGTAAATGTTAGCTGATAGGGTATTTCTGTTCTGTTTGTCTGGTTTTGTTCCTACTCTGTGTTAAATGTTAACTGATAGGGTATTTCTGTTCTGTTTGTCTGGTTTTGTTCCTACTCTGTGGTAAATGCCAGATTACATACGTCTGACGCTGTACTACATTAATTTGATCCTGAAATCCAACATGTTTCTGCTCTGTTCAGTGATAAGGCACATGGCTGGCCCCTTATTGACCAGCATGTTTCTGCTCTGTACATGGCTGGCCCCTTATTGACCAGCATGTTCTAGTTTTAGGTGTTTGGCTGTGTTTGGAATGGAACCATCGATAGGCTATCCACTATTGATGAAGTGACTAAACTTTATTCCAGTTTGATAAAACATTTAACTTCGAAAACACCCTTAAAATGGTTAACCCCGAGAACACCCTCTAATGCAACAATCTGAAATATTTACATCAGTGATCAAAAATTATAAAATCCTGTAATTCATTCACTAAAGTTAATAATTCAATTTTCTTAACAAAAAAACAAAAAAAACTTCAAGCTCGATCAAAGTTTTTTGAAATGGTGTCTTATATCTCTTATAAAATACCTTATTTGCTTCTAGAGGAACTTTTGGATAACACTGGTTTCTATGGGAGTCCGGCTCTTTTTCTGAATACCTTCTTGACCAATATTTAAGAAAGTTGGTGCACATGATCAATTTTCACTTTTTATGGGAGTTATGCCCCTTCTCCTGGGTTATTTTTTATGAGGGAGAAAAGGTATTAGATAGCCTGAGGCTTAACAAGCTAGTTTAGACTGCTTTTATAATTACTGTTTTAACGCATTCACCCTTGAAGACACATTTGGACTCTTCCAATTCAAAGGTTGGATTAGTTCATTATGAAATTTCAGGGTTGAATGAGTTGGAACATCCTTATATATATATTACATAATTATGTTCATTTCATTATCATGTCATTGTAATTTAGCTTTGTCCTACTCTCTTATAATGTACCATTTTTACTTGTTGTATTTGTAAGAGAAAATCTCCAAGATGTTAGATATCTTTTTACAGTATTTTCTAACTCAAACTGCAGTGTTGGAGACAAACTCACATAACTAGTTTGTTTGTTTACTAATCCTTATTGTCCTCGGTTATTTTTTGTTATAATATCTGATTCAAAAATAAATGATCAAAAATTAGTTTAAACTGCATATACACTGATATCATGGAGAAGGAAGGGTAATGGCCTAACATCACCAACGCTGTACCTGTATGGCAGTGTATTCAGAAAGGAAACACATTTCATACTTCATAATCAATATTTCCTTAACAAACAAAGTGCGATTAGATTGTCATCAGTAAAAGTAAACTGTACATTAAATCAAATATGATCTTGATTTTAAATTGATTTTTTCTAGAATACTAGTGAAGTGCGGGGAAAAACATAATGTAGGGTTTCTTTTTTTCATTATAAAGGTACCATGTGTGTCATTTTATTGTGATTTGAATCTCACGAGGAGTTTCTTTCCTCGCTTAAATTATGAAATACATTTTTAACGAAACCTATTTTTATGACTGTTTCTAACCCTTTCACCCCTAGTTAACTTTAGTAGACTCTACCATATATTCATTTATCTGGATGAGTCCATTATGGTTCAGAGTGGTGAAAGGGTTAATTGATGATAAAATTTAAGAAGACTTGGTCCTTACATTGATAGCACTAATGTTCTACACAGAAAATAAAGGGAGGTAACTCTCTCACAGATCACAGGTACAGTGTACACTTTGAGTGTTATGGATTCTGACACAACATTGACTTCATCTATAACACGACCACCTTTATACAGTGGCCTCTAAACTAAGTGCCAATATAGTATGTTTTGATTTTTTTCTTTAATTTATATGTCACTTTTTGTCTTTGTGTCCTGCTACAGGGTAGTATGCATCTCTTCTAATTAATGTTTACTAACTGACATTTTAAAGTCATGCTTAGAACTAATTTTTATACGATAATCCTTTATGTATATTATATAATGCACTGTCAAAACCTTTGAATTTTTTTTCAAAATTTTTTGGATTTATTTTCTACTTACTTGCTTTAGGTAGGAGATACATGGTCAGTATTTTGTACATTTATATGAATTACAGAGACATGAAATTAGTGTAAAGTGCATAGTATCCAACATTTATCAACTACATGTATGTACATTTGTTGAGGGGAGTATTTGGTTTTATTACATACTTACTAATAAATACGGGTTTTTTGTATATGCGATAGGACACAATTGCTCTTACCCATATCAGCCCTCGCCGTAGCACACCCCAAAAGCTGTTTCACACCCCAAAACCTGTATCAGCCCGCAAAACCAGTATCACAACCCCATTTGGAAATATTTCATTTTTCAATATTTCAAAAAAAAAAGATCATAAGATAGTAGCTTTTATTAGTAAGTATGTAATAAACAGAATAAAACATGCCTTTTTCCATATCACACCCAGTATCAACCCTCGACTGATATTGCAGACTCGGGTTGATACTGGGTATGATATGGAAAAAGGCATGTATTATTCTCTATATATCAACCAGTTGGCGGAGGAAAGTACTGCATTTGATAGAGAGCAGTGACCTCCATGTGATTATGATCCAGCCCACGAGGGTTTGGGGGAAATGAGCATCATGTAATATAAAGTTGTCTGGAGGTAATAAGCGACAGTTAACAGTTGTTATAAACATCCAGAACTCACGTAGTCTCTGCCACCTTATATACAAAAAGAAATGGACTAGAGTTTTTTTTAGAATTTGTACATTTCATTGAAATCATTATCGATATTAAAAAATGTTTTAACCTTATCTGCTCTAAAATTACTGTTGATGATCTTAATTTGTTGATCAAAACGTAACCATAATATGTATGTGATATTGTTGTTAGGTGGAGACAAGGAATATACTATAAAACATAGGGCAAGTATTTAAATCAGTATTTCTGTAGGAATTGTCAGCATATTACTATTGTTATTATGACTTATAGATTTGTCTGTCGTAGGGTTGAAGATACACCGGCGATAATTAATACAACTGCTAAGGTAGTCCTACAAGATTATTCTATAATTAAGTACTTTATGTAATAAATGTCAGGTCCGTCACTGGAACAGCATGATGTGGCAAATCAAGTGTTATCAATAGAATATGAAGGGAGGCCGGTTACAGTCAAAAAGCAATGAAAAGATGTTTTTGTCTGGCATATAAAAAACTGTATTCCTCATCAGCTGGCTTTGGCAGTTTTTACATACAGTGTATAACAATTTGGTTTCACACAGCCGAGTTTGTGATGAAAATGATTTTAAATGTTCAATACAATTGTAAAGTGATGCTTGAGAATATTTCATGTATTATTTTAAGTGTAACTCGGGCTATAAAGTCTCGCGTGTTTTCGTGTCATGTATGTTTTGTATTGTATCCATTTTTATCGGTGTATTTTCCTGTTTATATGCTTCGCGATCACCCTTGTTTACGTTGTAGACCTTTGTATATTACTGTAAGTTTTGTACCGATAAGGTGCTGGAGTTTTACTTTTTTTTTCCTTATAACAGGTTCTTTCATGTCGTTCCATCCTCCATGCTAGAACTATTTACGTAGAAACTGGATACACCCAGTATCAATAAACTAAGTCGAGTTTAGCGAACTTTTCTGACTTTTCTTATTAAGAAAGCGGAAACGTTATAAAACCCACCTAGTATAAACGTCATTCATTGATCTATATACAATATTCCATCAGTTACATTTATGAAGAGACACTTTTTCGTGATCTAAACAGATAATATACAGCCGAACTAATGTGCTGAAAGAAAGCAGACTTACCATTTTGTATGCTACAGATAACTTATATTTTGCGAATTCACTTTTCTGTATTGATAAAACAATAATTCACAATTCACTCCACGCGCATGTCGCACGGCTAGTAATTGTTGGCGTGTAACATGATTTTGCGATTGATACTTGACACAATTTTAGGTAAAACATCACTGGATGTATAAATATTTTACAGTATACATTGGGGAAGTATCATGACATTGACTGCCTTCGTATTATAATATGTACTTTGTAATAAATTTGTCTTCATGAAACTGCATTAAATCATCATCATTACCTGAGGATTTGTGTTGTTTGTTGGCCTATAATGCTATTATATTAACAATGTATCAGTCATATATACTGTGTACCAGTTATATTCACTGTGTACCAGTTATATATACTGTGTACCAGTTATATTAACTGTGTACAAGTTATATTCACTGTGTACCAGTTATATATACTGTGTACCAGTTATATTAACTGTGTACCAGTCATATTTACTGTGTACCAGTTATATTCACTGTGTACAAGTGGTGATATGTACTGAATAACGGTTACCATGATCTATAGCTGGGGTTTTAGATAAGTATGTATAGAATAAAATATTAAGTGTCCAGGATCTACCGCTAGGCCTTTCTGCTTTTCGTTTTCTCTTGTCTTCTGAGAAGACAAAAAGACCTAGCAATAGATCTTGGGTACTTTATTGTTTTATTCTATGTTTTCCTTCGCAAGAACTTGTTTATTCATTATCTACATTTATATAATAAACTCCTTCTAATTTTTAGCCATCGTGAACAGATGAAAGTAGAGTAAAAAGTGTGATATAGCGCCCATTATGTCCATGTGAAGTTCGGCGTCAGTTTGACCCACCATACCCATAAAAGCCTGTATCACATACAACTATATACGTATGTAACGCTCTTTTCTTATTATTAAACTGTTAATTATGACAGCAAGTTAAAATGAAATTCCTTAAAGAAACCCAGATAGTTTCCAGGTAAAATGTCGCATCGTCAAAACAGATAAGTAAATATATCGTTGACAAAAACATATGTAGAGTATCTATATATATAAGTGTATATAACAAGTTGGAACGGCTCAAACGACGCACGTGAATGGTATTTAAACTATCCACTTAAAATAACAATGCGTTTCCAATTAGCTTAGATCTATCAATTCAATCCGAATTACTTTCACAAGGGAAAGGATTTCATATTACAATAGCACCTTACACGATTTATTAACCAGTAATCTCTGTGGACTTCGCATATACGTAAATACCCTTTGTTTAGCTTTTACATTCCCATACTTTATAAGACGAACCGTTCAAATTTCACATGTCAGAAAAATCCGCGAGACATTCCGCGACAAGATTAAGTGGGGATATTTTAAATGAATACACGGATAAACGTGATTACGGAATATTTGTATATTTCTCCTAGCTGTGCCGCGATTGTAGTTCGATTAGCGACAGATTAAGGGTGATAGGCTGAGGAGCGTTATTGTCTGGTTAGATAATAATGAGATTTACTTAACCGTTCCATGTTATTTCTGGTAATAACAGTGGCATTATGATAAAATGATCATAATAGATATCCGAATTTTATGAAGTTCAATTCACAATGTTGTGTCAACATATCAACATTTTTGCAAATAAAATATGTTTAGTCGATACAACATTTACACAAAACACTCCTGATCAGCTTGTCTCCAAAGGACAGCGTAAGGATATTTTACTTTATTGAACTCGTTAGGCGTGACACGAAACGTTAAAAACAGTTGGTGTTGGTTTATTTTGTCAATATAATCTTAAACCCGTTTGATAATTTTACAATGTATGCAACGATATCTTCGTCATCTCATGATAAATAAGAATCAAATTTTCAATTCATTAAAATGTTCTTTTCATTTTTTTTATCATCGGATACAAACTATCGTATCGTGTGTTTCATGAAAATACAATGATACAATGATACATAACACGTTCATATAACATTAGAAGTTCGGTGAAATATTGAAAACCATAGACTGTTGAAGCCATCGGATTAATAGAATGAACCGCGTTTCATGTTTTATTTTCCTGTAATGCAGCGGGCATTCATAGTGCCTATGAACCGCATCTGAAAGCAGTTTAATGCTTATATTTACATTTTCACTTCTTTCTGCCTTTGAAAAATAATAATAATGACATTAAGAGAGATAAAATATCCTACCAAGATTCACTGGAATGTTCGACTGATCGAACAGCCCAAAGCACGTGCATTTTCCTGTAACGGATATCTTCAAATATATTCCGTAAAACATTTTTTTATCCATTCGTACTAACTTTGTCATATTTATTTATATCATGATGAGTATTGACATCATTTGTTAATGACGTAACACCGCGTAGGCATTTCCGTTACGAGGGCCATTCAATAAATTCTGTTACTACAAAAGCTCCCGTGCGAACGAGCAATAAAATAGTGTAGCGCCTTAGACTGAACAGGCATCTAAATACCAATGTACATATCCATGCAAAATGTCGACTGCATCCGACAAGAATTGGACAAGTTATTCATTGTTGAATGGTATGAACTCTCTTGACAAGTGGTTACTTTCAATGCTAAAATGATGTTTGAGACTAAATCCGAAATACGCTCCTATATTAAGACTCGGTGTGCTTTACAGATACCGCCAAAACAGATACAGGCAGAGTTGTGCAGCATAAACGGCACCTGTGCCGTCACATTGATGTGTTATAAGGTGGGTGAGAGCCCTGTCGTCACATTGAGAACTGTTATCAGGTGGGTGAGAGTCCTGTCGTCACATTGAGGTGTTATCAGGTGGGTGAGAGCCCTGTCGTCACATTGACATTGAGGTGTTATCAGGTGGGTGAGAGCCCTGTCGTCACATTGAGAACTGTTAGCAGGTGGGTGGGAGACCTGTCGTCACATTGAGGTGTTATCAGGTGGTCGGGAGCCATGTAGTCACTTTGAGAACTGTTATCAGATGGTTGAGAGCACTGTCGTCACATTGAGGTGTTATCAGGTGGGTGAGAGCCATGTAGTCACATTGAGAACTGTTATTAGGTGGGTGAGAGCCCTATCGTCACATTGAGGTGTTATCAGGTGAGTGAGAGCCATGTCGTCACATTGAGGTGTTATCAGGTGGGTGATAGCCATGTCGTCACATTGAGGTGTTATCAGGTGGGTGAGAGCCATGTCGTCACATTGAGGTGTTATCAGGTGGGTGAGAGCCCTGTCGTCACATTGAGGTGTTATCAGGTGGGTGAGAGCCCTGTCGTCACATTGAGGTGTTATCAGGTGGATGAGAGTCGGTTGTTACAGCACCAAAGAAGAACATGCAACAATCAATGATGATGGTCGATATACTATTTCTGAGATAGCTCATGCATATGGTTGGCATTTCAGAAGTCAGTACAAATCACATTCCGACAAAGAGCTTGAAATTAAAATACATTTGTAGTATTGTGCTCGGTGGACTCCCCTTTGCTGACATCTGAATAAAAGGCCAAGCGTTTGAAATATGCTAAAAATATATTGAAAACGTACGGTAATTGCGAGTCAAGAAAGCTATAGGAGGTAAAGGGGATGAGACCAGGGTTTATAACTTTGAACTCCAGAGGCGCTTTGTTAACAAGCAATGGCTGTCGAAAACTCAAGAAAGGCCATTGGTTGCAAGACGTATAAAAAGCATCAAGAAAGTTGTGTATGCTATTTTTCAATGATAGTGGGCCTGTGGTTCATATACCGTGCAAAGAAGGGAGAAGTACCGCTGTCAAGGTTTACCGAGACAAGGTACTGAAGTCTGTAAAAAGATTCTACATAAACAACCGCCCAAGTAAAGGGTTGAACGGCATCCAGCTTATTCACAACAATGCTTCATCCCACAAACACAATAGTGTACAGGCGTTTTCATGAAGCAACAGAATGTAGCCGGACTTGTAACTGCACACTGAACCAGAGATTACTTCTGTACGGGACGGCATGGTCCAAGTCAACTTGTGTGAGGTTTATGAAGATAATTTCATTTCCGTCTAAAATTATAGATTATCGTAATTTTAATAGAAACAAATATTACTGCTACGGTATCATGGTGAAATAGTGAACTTCTCGCCCAAATATTCCAAACGAGAGTCAAACGTGTCTTTCGTATTGTTTTACTACTCATTTCGGTTCATATTCCGATGACCGCAACGACCTTTACTGGGTTTACATAGCGACATGGCAGCGCAAATGTAAAAATGATGTAAAGTTACTGAATTTCGAGTATGATTTCTTTGTTTTCTATGCAGGGCATTTATTTACCAGAAGAGTATGTAAACTGATTGTGCATGGTTTTGAAGCGTGTATTTTACAGGTGTCGAACCACTAGGATACATCCGACGCTTTTTGAATCAGTTCATTCAAAATATTCACAGTAGTAAATCCTGGTTTTAATGTTGTAACACATGTAAACTCGTCTAAAAGCATTGATAAATCTCTCCAATATTTCTATTCTTTGATATGCAGACTTATTGTGATTTTTGTAGAGTAAACACAGGATAAGATGCATGCCACTCGCTTATTTCAGGATCCCGTTTTCCTCTTTTGCATAATAATTATTTTTACAATTATTACATCTCCTTTTACATCCCAACATCCCTTTATAACACCAAACTTCGCTTGAACAGATTATGAGAGCGAATGGAGTTTTTACTTATTACCATTACACTAATTAATTGTAATAATAGACATAGAAAAGTTGGTCATCAGAATGGCGTGTCTAGCTGAGATCGGTTTTGAATCGAGGTAACGAGAGAAGGACAATCAAACCACAAAAAGTGATGACCACACACGCTCCGGCCAATGATAGCGAGACAATCACCTCTAAGTGATGGCATATGGTTAGAGGTGACCAGTGCCCATCTGCCGCTCTATTTCGGCCCATTGGGAGCTGTAAGTGGCCTTGAGGGTTGTAGTGTTTCCCGAGTGTTTGTGAAGGGTATTAGCACCGTCTGTGTGAAGTTCTACTACTACAGGTGAATTGTGAATACCCGCGCGAGGGTGCGTATCGTTTTATCGAGGGGTTTCATTGACATAAAGCACTTTGTTTGATCTATTCGCTATTACAGCAGTCTTAGGCCGGAATTTTCTGGCACTCCAGACTTTTTAAGAAATTCCCGATACGACACGCCTTATTGAATTGCATGTATGTAACTTATTTCTTAATGTAGCCACAGACTTCCATCAACTCTAATTCCAGTATGTAGTATATCATACAGTTTAACCGAATTGTCTAGTTGTGATTGT